AAAATCATTAGGATATTAAGTATAGATCATGTTCCATGAAGATATTTTGTAAATTTCCTACCGTAAATATATCAAAACTTAATTTTTGATTAGTAATATGCATTGCGAACTTAATTTGAACAACTTTAAAGATGATTTTCTCAATATTTAGATTTTTTTGCACCCTCAGATTCCAGATTTTCAAATAGTTGTATCTCAGCCAAATATTGTCAGATCCTAACAAATCATACATCAATGGAAAGATTATTTAATCAAATCTCAGTTTCACAAAATTGACCCTTATGACTGGTTTTGTGCTCCAGGGTCACATTTAGTGTTAAATAGTTTGTCAGTGTTGACATTTAATTATACATTCTTTAATATTTAAATATATACACCCATTTAAATGAGCTCAGACCACATACTGTAAATATATATATTAGTGCCGTCAAACGATTAATCGCGATTAATCGCATCCAAATGAATAGTTTTTGTTTACATAATACATGTGTTGTGTACTGTGTATATTTATTACGTATATATAAATACAAACACATGCATGTATATATTTAAGAAAAATATGTTACTAGGAGGGTAACGTTTCACAAAGTTCACAGTTCGGTTCGATACGATACAGTGGTGTCGCGGTTCGGTACGTTTTCGATACGGGTGGGGGGTGGGGGGGTGATTGCTTACGTCGCAATGTTGGGAATATTTCTGTTTTAAACCATGAAGGCGAGCCAATGGATATCACAAACAAGCAACGTGCAAACTTTGCGCAAGAGTTATGCCGATGAACGTCTTAATCTCAATCAAATCACTGCAGAGAGTGAAAGTAAAAACAGAAAGATGGAGCTTTCTGCATCTGACGACGAGAGACGAATCTACTTCAGCATATGCGGATAATGGTATATATAGCTAACTGTTTTCATTTATTCCCTTAATATTTCTCTTGTGGCCCGTACATAGTGACAAAAATAAGAGAAGAAATGTATTTTGTGTTAAACATGTTGTTTTTGAAAGTCGGTGCTTGAAATAGGCTAAAGCTTTTTATTTAATTTATTTTTATTGATGACTGCGGAGTTAATATTTTAATTATAGGCCTATAATTCATTGTATAATAGACCTGTTTTAAAACATTTTAATCGAGGAGTAAATAGCCTAATCTTTTGTTATCCTCGCAGCGCGTCAGTTATGCGGTAATATTGCGAGGCTAATTAATTAACTAAGAACATTAGCCTATATTTCACACACTTTAAGCTCTTTTATTTTCCAAATTTAATAGGATTAGTCCAACGAATCGCTCGGTTTGTAATGCGTACCGAACCGAAAGCCTCGTACCGAACGGTTCAATACGAATACGAGTATCGTTACACCCCTAATTTATATATTAAATATATTTATGTACAATATAGATTATATGAATATAAATACATGTAAATATTTTCAAAATATATACTGTATGTGTGTGTATTTATATATACATAATAAATATACACAGTACACACACATATATTATGTAAACAAAAACGTATTTTGGATATGCGTGCGTACTGTTTATTTATTATGTATATATAGATACACTCACATACAGCATATATTTTGGAAATATTTACATGCATATACATTTCTATATTTCTATTCTTATATTTTATATTATATATAAATATATTTAATATATAAACATAACATATTTTTCTTAAATATATACATGTGTTTGTATTTATAAATGCATAATAAATATACACAAACACATATATAATGTAAACAGTAACTTTTATTTTGGATGCGATTAATCGCGATTAATCGTTTGACAGCACTAGTATATATATATATATATATATGTGTGTGTGTGTGTGTGTGTGTGTGTGTGTGTTTAATTTGAGAGTAGCTCATTCTAATAATTGTAAGCACAAGCCTCACAGAATGTTATTAAACTGAACTGGTTAAATGCACTAGAGTAATAGTAAGTCTGTCTCTGCTCTCAGCGATCCAGACGGCTCTGCGTCTCTCCGCAGAAGGCCGGGTCTCGCTGCACGAGGAGCTGAAGGAGCGGCGGCGGGAGCTGCGCGAGGAGCGGGAGAGGAGGCGCGCGCTGCGGGCGGAGGAGACGCGGAGGCTGCTGGAGCTGCAGGGGGAGCGCGAGGAGCAGCTGGCTGAGCTGGAGCTTCTGAAGGAGGCGCAGAGACAGGCTCAGGTCTCCCTGCAGCAGGAGGAGCAGAGGAGGCGCAGCCAGCACGAGGAGCTGCAGAAAACCCTGCAGAGACAGCTACAGGAGGCGCAGGAGGTCAACACCTCATTTTATTAAAAATATTTAACGCAATTAACGCAGGGGCGGAGCTAGTGTTGGCCACCCCACTCATAACGGGTCCTGTGCTCGGCGCGCGTGATCTTAAATTGCAAGCACAAAGGCGCCGGCGCGCTGTAGCCATCATTTCATATCGAAGCGCGAAATAAACTACGTGCATGCAATGTCGTGGTCAATTAAGTCATGAAGTTAAAAGGCGATTAAAGCTGCCTTAATACTGTGCATGCATGTGACGTTTTATATGAGTCACATTTAAGAACATGTGCCTGAAATGGTTTTCAAAACTGTCTCTCTCATCTAACACACCCGATTTAACTCGTCAGCTCATTAATAGAGACTTTAAGACCTGAAGTGGGTCAGAAAAGGTAAAGAGAGTTGAGAGAAAATACAATGCGTGTCAGATCCGCGTCACGTTCAGCAGCGGCAGCTCTTAAAGTAATAGCAGCCAAAATAACCTTATAACCAGCTGCTGTGTTGTCTGTTAATCAAAGGACAAAGAAAAAAAAAGGAAAAAATAACTTTATAGCTTTAAGGATTCATCTATAATCAATTTAGAATTTAGTGTTTGATAACTTCAATTTAAATTTCTGTATATTTCGGCTGAAGGGCACAGGTAAATATGACACTTATTATAATGGGTTTATATGAAGATTGTTTTAAGTTCACTTAAATTAGAAGTTATTTTTTTAAAAGTCTAATAAATGTTTTAATCGATAGCTCAATTTGAAAATTGAATGTAAAATTATTGCAATATAAAAGTATATTTAAAAACTTTAATGTTAGGTGGGATTGATCGCGATTAATTTCAGAAAAAAATGTGCGATTAATTAGTACATTTTTTTTAATCGATTGACCACACTAGTTTTTATTGATTAATTGAAATAAAAAAAGCTTTGTAATATTTAGACCAGGGTTATTATAGCTAAGTAAAACCATTAAAAAAATTGCAACTTGAAAGAAAAAAAAAGTTAAATAAAATAAAAAAATAAAATAAAAAAACATTCTCAACATTTATCAACTTGACGTCCAAAAAAAACAACAACTAAAACTGAAATAAAAGTTAAAGGGAAAGTTCACCCAAAAATGAAAATTTTGTCATTAATTACGACATGAGGGTGAGTAATTAATGACAGAATTTGAACTATCCCTTTAATTTTATAATAGCTACTGTATATAGACATATTAAAAAAAACAAATAAAAATGACAAAACACACAACATTACAAAACTTTAACTACAAAATTGAAATAAAATAGAACATAACTTTTTTTTTAAAACAAACTTATTTTATCTCGGAAACGGAAATAAAAATAACTATATAGACATATTTAAAAACAACAAAAATGAATAAAAGTGTCAAAACTACTAAAGCTGTAATATTAACACAAAAGCTGAAAATAAAAACTAAACAACAAAAATTATAATAGTATCTCAATACTAAAATAACACTCAAGTCAAAATTTATAATAAAAACTCATTTAATTTTTAAAAATATTATCATTTTCTTATAATAAAAAATCATAATCAAAAATAAATGACCTTATTTGTATTTAACTTAAAAATTTTAATCATTAATTTCTAGAAAAATGACTTAAAATGAGAGACCTTTGATTGACAACCAGGCGCTCGTTAATATATGACCCGCCCATATTTACAGATCATCACACTTTTATATTCAACAACTTGCATAATAAATGACAGCTGAACTGTCCTAGAACAAAAGTCATTTACATATATAAATCTTAAAGGTACAGCAGCGAAAACAATCAGTTTTCACAAATTACACACTGCAAAAAAAAAAAATCTAACACTGTAAGTGAATAGGAAGCTCAAACAGACAGTGCAAACTGTAACAGGCTTGTTTGTGTGTGTGTGTGTGTCTGTGCATGTGTGTGTGTGTGTGTGTGTGCGAATCTTCGCGCAGAGGTGGCGGTTCGCGATCTGGAGGCTGAACACCAGCAACGGAGAATCAAAGAGCTGGAAGATCTTCATCACAGACTACAGGAAGCTCTAGAGCAGCAGATCAGAGCGAGACAGGAAGAAGAGACCTACAGATACACACAGACCAGGTGCTCAAACACACACACAAACTCACACACACACACACACACTCACTCACACGCACACTCACGCACACACAAACTCACACACACACACACACACTCACTCACACACACACTCACGCACACACAAACTCACACACACACACACACACACACACTCACGCACACACACACGCAGACACACACACAGACACACACACACACA